TAGTTACAAGGTGGTACAAAATGTACATTAATGCAATCCTTGACCATGAGTTTATAAGTAAATATCCAGTCAAAAGTTATAAAATTGCCTTATTTGTAATTAAATGTTGGTAAGTTGTTTGGACCAATCAGATCTCGTGGGCTAATCTGGCCCATGGGCAGTTTATAAGCTAGGATGTAGTGCACGCCCACTTAGCTTAGAAACTATGCCGATCATTTGGCTGGGGTGTCGAGTTGCTATACTTTTCCTAATCAAGAATCCCGGTGCTACCCTTGATGCATCCAGAGTAGTACCCGGAATTTTGCGCCACAATGCATATGTGTGACAAAATAAGGAGATACCAGATACGTAGCAATTTAACGCTACATTGCAGATCATGACAAAAAAAAAAAAATAAAATTTGCGAACATATTTTTTAGAAAAGAAACGATTTAACATTCAACTCATTATATATGTGCTTTTGAAGGAAGAAAAATTGTCATGCTTTGATCGCAAGTTGTGTAAGTGATAGGTGTAACTATACTTATTGTTATGTATCACGTCTCCTTATTTATATTTTTATTAAAATATAAAAATCCTTACTGTACTCTGTTACTCTATTTGAATCAAATTTTATTGAATAAAAATTTAAATATGAAGAATCACATAATTTTTACTTATTTATTATTTTATTTATTTTATTAAAACTTAAAAATTTTTTATTTTGGCTTTTATTAATCAAGATAATTATGTTTGTTAATTAATCAGTTAGAGAAAATAATAAAAATTAGAGCAACTAATATTTTTGTATATTTATCTATAATTGTCTATGATTCAATTTCACAAAAAAAAAATTTTCAAAACGGTTTTACAAGTGATAATAAAATAAAAACATATATTTTACCAGGAACATTATCCAAAACTTTATATAGCAGTATTAGATTTGTTGATTTTATATTTCTACTATCTTTTATATGCTTCGGGGACTTAACAATTTTTCAGTGTGATTTGCATACTGATGTCAAGATTAAAAGAATCGAAGAGTACCATTCAAAAAATCACATGACTCAACTGATGTAACAATAGGTAGGACCCTGAGAAATACGTAAAAATACGGAGTTTGCATAGAATGCACCAAAATAACTTGAAAATCCTTCTTTTTTTGGATAATTACAGTTTACCGCAAAAAAAAAATTAAATGCAAGTCTGTGGTTGGTGGCTCGAGAGATGCGTGCATGAATTAACGTGTCAGTCGTGTCACTGTGTATAATATATATTTTGTTACGAATAAATTTATTCGAAAAAAAAAAAAATATTAAACTGCTTAATATTAACTATGTCTTTTCAAGACAGTGAAGATAATAAATATTATTCAAAATACCTAAAGAAAAAATTTACAAACAAGAGCGGTAATGAACAAATTGATAATTTCATTCAAGAAATGCAATTAAAAATTAAAGACCGTCATGATATAGTACTTGAATGGATACCATATGAACAATTTGATAAAATAATAGAAACAAACAAAAATGGTTTTGTAACAGTGTATTCAGCAATATGGAAGGATGGTCCATTATATAAGAATTGGTGGAATAATAAATATACAAGAGATACAAATAAAGAAATTATTTTAAATTGTTTATATTATTCTCAATATCTTATTGAATTTCTAATTAATAAGGTATAATAAGTTTATTATAATATTTTAGTCTTATATGCCATATACTCCATTAATTTTTTATTTATATTTTAGATTAAGAAGTATGTCACAGATCGTACAAATAGGCATAAGGATTATTCTAAATTATATGGAATATCACGAAATCCAGATACAAATGATTACATCTTAGTTCAAAGTAATTCCATAAACCTCATAAACTGGATAAGTGGTAATGAAAAGATTGATAATTTTATCCAAGAAATTCAAGAACATCAAAATATAGTATTTGAATGGATACCATACGGTCAGTTTAATGAAATTAATAAAACTGGAAAAAATGGATTTATGACAGTATATTCAGCAATATGGAAGAATGGTCCATTATATTATCAACATGGAAGATATAAAAGAGATCCAAATAAAGAAATTGCTTTAAAATATTTACATAACTCACAAGATCCAGTTGAATCCATAATAAATGAGGTATAGCTCTACTATAAATATTTTAAAAGTTTCTTTAATATAATTAATTAATCTTTTTTTTTATGTCTTAGGTTAAAAAACATTTGATCAAAAAATCTCATCATAAGAATTTTAAAATATATGGAATATCACAAAATCCAAATACAAATGATTTTATTTTAGTTCAAAATAATTCCATAAACCTCATAAACTGGATAAGTGGTAATGAAAAGATTAATGAATTTATACAAGAAATGCAATTGAAAACCAATAATCTTGATATAGTATTTGAATGGATACCATACAATCAGTTTAATGAAATTAATGAAACTGGAAAAAATGGATTTATGACAGTATATTCAGCAATATGGAAGGATGGTCCATTAAATTATCAATATGGAAGATATAAAAGAGATCCAAATAAAGAAATTTCTTTAAAATGTTTGCATAACTCACAAGATCCAGTTGAATCCCTAATAAATGAGGTATATAACTACTAGTATATATATGTTAAAAGTTTCTTTAATATAATTTATTAATCACTTTTTTTTGTGTCTTAGGTTAAAAAACATTTGGTAAAAAAATCCCATTATAAAAATTTTGAAACATATGGAATATCCCAGAATTCAGATACAAATGAGTTTATTATAGTTCAAAATAATTTAATAAACCTCATAAACTGGGTGAGCAGTAATGATAAAATTGATGATTTCATTCAAGAAATGTATATGAAAATTGTGGACTATAATGACATAGTATTTGAGTGGATTCCATACAATCAGTTTTATCAAATTAAAGAAATTGGTAATAACGGTTTCATGATAGCAATATGGAAAGACGGTCCATTATATTATAGTGAGCATTATAAAGAATATACAAGAGATTCAAATAAAGAGGTTACTTTAGTATATTTATATAACTCACAGGATCCAATCAAATACTTAATAAATGAGGTATATACTTTGTATATTTTTATAATATTTTTTTTTTACTTATGACTTATCATATTAATTAATTTTTTGTTATAATTAGTCCAAAAAATATTCAAACAAAAAATTATGGCAAAGGAATTGGTAAAATATATGGAATATCTCAAAATCCAGATAAAAGTAATTATATTTTAGTTCTTTCTCAGATAAGTGAAAATGAAAAAGTTAATGATTTCATTCAAGAAATGCAATTAAATGTTGATGATTTATCATTTGAGTGGATACCATATAACCAGTTTAATGAAATTAAAGAAATAGGCAAAGGTGGCTTTGCTACAATATATTCAGCAATATGGAAGGATGGTCCATTGAAAAGTCAGGATGTAAAATACAACAGAGACTCAAATAAGAAAGTTGCTTTAAAATGTTTGAATAATTCACAAAATATTAATAGATTACTAAATGAGGTATGAAATTATTTCACAGAATTTTTTAACTACTTATTAATACTAATATACTAATACTTACTAATACTTTATAATAAATATTAATAGGTTAGGGCATATTCAACTAAAGCAGATGAATATGAGAGAATTATAAAAGTTTATGGAATATCACAAGATCCAGATACAAAAAATTATATTATTGTTCTTCACTATGCAGCAGGTGGAGATTTTAACAATTGGATAAATAAAAATGAAAATTATAAATACTTTAACTGGAAAAGTAAAGTACGAACATTATATAATATTGCAAGTGGTCTTAAAGTAATTCATAAAAAACAAATGGTTCATCATGATTTTCATACAGGAAATGTATTATTTAATACTACTACTATGAAAGAATATGCTAACAAAATATATATTTCAGATATGGGATTATGTGGAGGGGTTGATGATATCAATCAAAATAATATTTATGGAGTTATGCCTTATATAGCTCCTGAAGTATTAAGGGGGAAACCTTATACTCAAGCAGCAGATATCTATAGTTTTGGTATGATTATGTATTTCGCTGCAACTGGCAGACAACCTTTTGATGATTGTGCACACGATCATTATTTAGCATTGGATATTTGTAATGGAATTAGGCCTATAATAAATGAGCCAGAAGCACCAAAAAGTTATATTGATTTAATGAAAAAGTGTTTGGATTCAAATCCTGAAAATAGGCCTGATATAGATAAATTAAGTAAATTGCTTTGGTCAGTAACCAATATAAAATCTGAAATTGAAAAAGCAGAAAATTATAGAAATTTACAGCTTTCTTCTTTAAAGGGAGATAGACAAATAATTACTCATCCTCAAGCTATTTATACATCTCGATTGCTTAATCAGTTTACAAAAGATCTTCCAAAGTATGATAATTCTGAATGTTTAGACTGTGCAATTTTGGATTAGAAATTTTGTTTTTACTATTGAAAGGATATATTGTATACAATATTATGTTGCTTTAAAAAAAAAACAAATTGCAATTAAATGCATAGACTCCGATGAAATGGTTACTAAAAATAATATATAAAATTTCAATTGTTGCAACTAGTATTCTATAAACAATAAAGTCTAGAAATAAAAAATTACCAATTTTGTATAAGTTCATCAAAAATATTAATATCAAATAATGTGGAAAAAAAGCTCGTTATCAGATGTATTTACAAATTACAAATTAGTAACAACTGATGGTATAGTTGGGCTTATAAAAAAACAAAAAATATTATTAACAATTATACATGCTGCCCAAATTATTTTGGGATGAATTTAATGTAGGGAAAAATTGAAATTTAAACACTGATAATTGTAAATGTCAATTTGCTTGACTGTCATAAATCTGACTTCACATTTTTTTTCGTGTAATGTTTATCTTAGAAAAAAATTTTTGCGCTTTTTAAAAATGTTAAAGAATAAAATATATATTTTGCATATTTTTAAATATTATCTATAAAAGAATTAATATTTTTGCACAATTTTATTAAATAAAAGTTTATTTGCATTTTATTAAATACCATATTTACATGAAATTTATGAAATTTTTATTAAAAAACGCATCTTAGTTTATTACAAAAAAATTATAACTACGCAAATATTTAAGTTAGCTCCATAAAAATCAATATGCATAAATTTTAATATCTACAGAACAACATTACTTAAGCTTATTTCACTTATTTCTCTTGACCAAAGTGTTCAAAATTTGAAGTAGAAGACAAAACGAGTCTTAGTATTATAAAAAAATCTAAACAACTTTATTTAAGCATTTTTCACCTGCTGTTTAATATGACTAAATGCTAAAATTATGTTGTGATATCTATAAAACGCGCCCTACAAAAGAAAGAATCCAAATCTGCAAAAAAAGAAAAGATTCCAATATGATCTACAAAAAAGAAAAAGAGTAAACCAACCTACAAAAGGAAAAGAACCCTGAAGATCCACTCTAATTAAAATTGTTTAGCACCATTTACTTAGTTTTTCAATAAGTATATGCTACAGAATTAAATATTGCAATATAAATTATAATATTTTATTAATGGAAACAATAATTTTAGAAATTTAAATAATTTAATTAAAGGGTATCGCCCGAGCGATTATCACCTTTACCAGCATTAGGACGGCATTTTGGGCGGAATTACATTCATGATCGGTCTTCGATCACATGACAGATTTAATATTTTTGATTGGCCAGATTGGCCACATGAACACGTCATGTTTATTTGTTTCAGTCTCAAAGTATTTTTCTTTTTATCTTTTATTTTTTATTTCTAACTTACATTCTTACACTTTGTTTTTTACTATCTCTATTTCATTATTTTTAGGTTCTTTAGTCCTTCCAGTTCTGCAATTAAGGTTCACTTTACGTTTTGTTCTTACCAATTTCTTTATTTTTTTTTATTTTGTTTGTGTTTCATATTTCATTTTCACTAATTTTATTTCATTTTTTTTAGACCTTTCAGTTCTTTTGGTTCTATAATTAATAAAGGTATGTTTTTTATTTTTATTTATTTTTTTTATTTCATTTCTATCTTATATTTCATTTCTTACTGACTTCATTTTTTTTTTACTTCATGGTTTTATTTTTTACTTGGTTTTCTACAACCTCCTATCATGATCATTTTTTTTTATTTTTTATCTCCATCATTTTTCACCTTCTATTATTTCTCATTATTCTATACTTTTCGTCTCCCATTATTTTCTATTACATCTTTTCATTTTCCACTATCTCTTTTTCTCTCTTGTTTACTTCCCATCATTTCTTTTTGTCTCTCATCGCTCCTTTTCGTCTCCCATCACTCCTCTTCATCTCCCATCATGTCCTATTTCCCCTTTTTGTTTCCTAACATTACTCCCTTTCATTTTCTATTACTTTCCATTACTCCATTGTTATTTCATTTTTTATTAGCATCTTTCTCCTTGATTATTGTAATTTACTTATCTTTTTATTTATTATTATTGTTTCTTTTCATCAGGAATTTTTTTCCGTTTAAAATCCACATGGAAATCCACATCAAATACTGTGGAAATATGTGGAAATCTAAATAGTTCCAGTATTTTCCGAATACCT